TGGTAGTTACTTTTCCGATAACTATCTCTTGACAAAAGTAGTTGCGCGCGGAAACTTAAACTAACTTAAAACTAAAATAAACTAGGAGATAGAAAAGATAGAAAGGGGAAATAAGAAGAATTAAAGGACAGAGGGTACCCGAATTTCCTGGTAGTTCTCTACAGTTCCTCGTCTCGGCTGTTCTTCCTTTTAGAACCGTTTCGGTCCGTTTCGGCGTTGTCTTATAATCGTCGACTAAATTCTTCTATCAATGCGCTTCTTACGGCCTCTTTCTGCAGCGCTCCTCCGACCTTTTGTTCCAGAGCCTTCTGCCACACGTCTCTCTCTCTCTCTCCGAGTCCGGCCTAAGAGTGCCTAAAAACCCTTTGTTTTCCTCGCTCGCAGACCCGTTTTCGTCTTTTGTCTAAGGCTACCCCCTGATGGGTCAGGGGTGAGGCGAATTCTTGGAAATCCGAGACAAAGGAACAAAGAAATCGGAAGGAAGGAAAGTTCTAGAGTTTAAATTAAACTAAAACTATACGGACTAATAATAATAATAATAATAATATTAATAAAAGAAAAACAGGCGTGTAGCCACAAAGGGTTAGTTATAAGAATTTTATTTTTATAATAATTATTCTTGTTTATGGGTTATAATTATTGCAATTCAGTATGCTGTAGTTAAATTGAAAAAGTTTTGTAATTGTCCCACTGACAATTGGGTTTTGGGTTACTGTTGGGGTAATTGCAATTAGCCTAGAGTTGGGCATCTGTAAAAGTACCTGTTATAGAAAATCATGCATAAATAAATTAGTTCCTTTTTCCTACCTAATGCATGTTTTGTTTGTTGTCTGTTTGCCTTTGTGGCTAATGGAAACACTATCATATTTCCAGTGGTGATATTCAAAATATTTAACAAAGGGTTCGCTAACAGAAAATTTTTCTTTAACAATTTTTTTTTCGCTCAAATGGTGCATCGGAAGGCTCTAGTTTAGTAGTGTTACAGAGTATAATACGTATATTTTAATATATTTTTTAAAAGAAACAAAACCACTGAGAAATGTTACATGTGTTTAACAAGGTTCAGAAAACTTTGAAAATGTTAACAACGGGTTCGGCCGAACCTGTGCGAACCCGCTGAATATCACCACTGCATATTTCATATCTCTAATTGTAATCTTATTTACTTACTTCACATAATGTTATTGTCAGTTATTGCTATTTTGAGACTTGACTAAACTGGTGATTATAATAAACATCACCTACTATATATACATAAGGATTATGAAGACTGCCAAGTTTGAATTTTCAGTCTGTTTGGCTTTAAATGTTGATTGCAACCCAATTGCAAACACTAGAAAAAAAACATCAAAATAGAGTAAATGATCATGTAGGAGCTTTTAGAGATAGTGAGTTTATAATTAGCCTAAAAATGTTATTAGTTACTAAAGACCAGTATTAATTAGTAGTCATCAACCATCCTCTCTCCCAGGGGGAAGTCAATGAATACTTTTGGTCAAATTAACTTCAACCCTCTTTTGTAACAGTCCCTTCTTCTATCAGACTCACCATTATGGTGGCATTCGAATAGGAAAATTACATAATATGATGTTACCAGCCAGAAAAAAATATGTTTTAAATGGTTTTCAAGGGTGCAGAGTTTAAATATTTGGTCCATTTTTTGCAAAATTTGATTTGTTGGCAGATCACCATTTGATATTCAGCTGTGAATGATAAGTTTGTTAGAGCTAACATTTGTAAAAAATATATCTTAAAAAAATTGAAGATATATTTTCAATTGCTGTCTACTTGACCAATGAAATTGTGTCATTTCATACCATCTGAGTATCATGATAAACATGACAATGGTAGGCTAAAATAACCAAACTCTTTATATGGTTTTCGTTTTAATGTTTGATATATTATAGTATTTAATTCATATAACTACAAAGATTATCTTACATAAGGATTTATCACACTGAGTGACCAATGTAACACATTTTAAAAATTCTTTATTCCTCTACTGTACACAATTTAAAGAACTTTTAAAATGTCTTAGATTAGTCACTTGGTGTGATAAACCCTTACATAAGATAACCTTTGTAGTTATATAAATCAAATATTACAATATAATATAAGGGTTAGAAGTAGGAAATAATCTAATAATCTTAACATTTGTACTTATTTTTTCCCAGGTAGACCTGGGCTTACCTGCTAGTTATACAGATAAATGTAATAATAAAAACCTTTCATTTCATGTTCCTCAAATCAAGAAAAAAAATAAAATTTTTCTTTAAATGAAATATAATTTTAATAAAAAATGCAATCAATAAAAAATTGAGTAAAAAAAGAGGCATAGATGCTAAAACTGGAACAAACTTATCAAGAATTTTAAAAAAGTAATTCTTAATTTAATCAAAAATAATGCTATGGATACAGCCACACATTTATCAACACACTATCGTCCAAACATCTCACTGTGTCATCTAACACCAATATCAACGTTAATTGGGTAGTCCTAAGCTACAAACCGTCCCTTCATCACTAAATTAAGAATTACTTTTAATTTTAAATTAAAAATATGCATTAACAGAGGCAGGCACAGAATGAATAACTACAGATGATATCATACTTTATTAGTGAATGGCTCATTGTGAGATATGGAATTCATTATTTTTCTTCAAAAAGAATGGCAATACTAAAAGCCATTCTTTTTGAAAATTATTAAATAACTTTTTTTTTTTTTTGATTCTGATGAAACCGTGTTGTTGTTATTAAGCTGTTTCTTTGCAGACACACTAAGGTGACATATATCAACACTTGGCAACTTATTGACTATTTATTCAGTTGGGATGCCTTTTACATTACGCGTTTCAGTTGGGACGCCTTTTACATTACGCGCATATTAAATAACTTTATTAAATGTTTTAAAAGAAGCTGAGTTTGACATTCAATTTTTGTTAATACTAAAAGCTTTGAATATTAAAGTTTTAGAGTAAGCATTTTCAATCCTACAACAATTCTATGAATATTTTTAGAGAAATATAACAATGATTACAACTTTTTATAAACTGATGTTTAAGAGGAAGCTGCAATAAGTTATTGAATTTCCTACAAGTAAATTTTCTGATAAACTATAGAGAAGTAAAGCAAAATACTTTTTTTACAATAAAAACTCCAAATTGTAATAAACACCAACTGTACCAGAAAATTGGAACTGTACATGTATCAGGTCAGTCCATAAGTTCCTGGGTATTTTATGACCTTGAGAAAAATCTTGTTTTGCTGTTAAAAATGCCAGTCTAATGTGATACTTTTTACACTGAAGTGTTAAATTGGATCTCATTCATATAATACTGTTCAGAATTGGGAACATTTCAGTTGTTTATTTTCGTTAAAATGGAAGTAACAGATGAATATAAGAGACATGTTTTATACTTTTTATTTTTAAGTGATGAGAATGCTACAAATGCAGCCAAAAAATTAAATACTGTTCATAATCAAACTGTAATTAGTGTAAGGACTGCGCAGAAGTGGTTTGAAAGATTTAGAAATAATGATTTTAGTGTGGAGGATAAGGCTCGTACTGGAAGACCCGTTGACTTTGATGATGATGCTCTCTCTGCACTAGTTGAAGCAGAACCATCTTTAACAGTTGATGAAATTGCGGAACGTTTAAATTCATCCCATGGAACTGTTCATAGACATCTACAACAAATCGGAAAAGTTTCAAAGCTAGGAAAATGGATACCACATGAACTGTCAATAGCTAACTGACAACAACGTCAACTGCTCAACTCAAAAGCTTCAACTGGGAAATTTTACCTCATCCACCATATTTGCCAGATATTGCTCCCAGTGATTATCATCTTTTTCGGAGTTTGCAGAATTTTTTAAAAGGAAAAACTTTTGAGGATGAGAACAATGTAAAAAAGGCTATTTCTGAATATTTTGATTCAAAACCGAAATCATTTTACAAAGACGGGATTAAAAAGCTACCATCAAGATGGCAAGAAATTGTACAAAATAATGGTGAATACATTATAGATTGAAATAAAATTTACTTAAAATTTTTTGTTGCTTTTTTTGTAGATAAAAATGTGCACGAACTTATGGACTGACCTGATAGATAAGAAATTACACCTCAATGAAAAATTTCCAGCAAAGAAATTCAATATTCTAATGTTTTTGGCCACTATTTCATCAGCCCTCACCAGGAATTGTAGAATGGAAAAACAGTTCTATAAATAGAATGCCATTGCATTCTAACGTTAAAAGTTTCAAATATGTTTGAATAAAGACTGTGATGTATCTTATATGACATATTATGAGTCTAGATAGTATTTTCATACATTTGAACATGAATGGCATCCATGTTGATGCAGGTTCCATTCCTGTCCACCCTGTAGATCTCTATCGCTTCTAATGTTTTGCCATTCAAAGACCCTGCATATTAGGGTAGCTTGGTCCCAACAGGGGGAAATCTCTGGATTGCTGGCATAATATGTCAGAGCTGTATTAATGTTTCCTTTTTGTACATCATATTTGTGATCCTTTAACCTGGCCTGCACAATCTGTATGTGGATCCTATACACATTACTATTCTGTGGAACCTATTGTTCTGTAGTGGGATACAGTATACTCCTGGTGCTTTAGCATCCTCAGTGCCATCCTTTGCATTAGACAGAAGGCAAAAAATGTTACATTTTCTTTTGAACATTACGTGTATGTTTAAATCTTTTGCAATCCTTCTGTGTAAGTGATGAAGGGACGGTTTGTAGCTTAGGACTAATCAATTAACGTTGATATTGGTGTTAGATGACACAGTGAGATATTTGGCTGATAGTGTGTTGATAAATGTGTGGCTGTATCCTTGGTTGGACACAATTTGTTTCAGATGTTCTAGGTCCTTGCTGGTATCTGACCTGTCCATAGAATGCAAGTAGGCTCTCACAACCAGTGTACGGAACGTGGATGCCTTATATGACCATGGGTCAGCTGAATTGGCCGGTATGAATAAGGGGATGTAAGTAGGTTTGCAGTAAACTGTGGTGCTGAACTTATTATCCACTATTTGAATAAAGAAACAGTGGCTGAAAACATTAGAATATTGAATTTCTTTGCTGATAATTTTGCATTGAGGCAAATTGTAATAATATTCCTTCCTAAATCACAGAATATTTGTTAACAATAAATTTGTAAAAAGAACTATTACTTTTTAAATAATACCACTAATTATTAAAACAAATAGATATTAAGTGCTCATTATTTTCTAAATGTTTTGTTAATATGAAAACAGTGTATTCCTCTCTTTAATATAGTAACTTGCTTAATATGCCTAAAACATATTCCTCACATTAAACAGAAGATATCTATATTTTTGACTTTTCACTGCACAAACTATATTTTTGTATTTTTGAAAAAGATTTAAAAGAACATTATAGTAAGGCTCAATTCACACATACATCTTTTCTATGTGTATTTTGAAGTTTTGCTGCATTCAATGTTGCAGGAAATGACCGCTAATGATCACAGTTTAGTGGTTTATGAGTGGTCCATACAGCCACCACGAGTGGCAGATAACCACCACAAAAATTTAGTTCCAAAATGAGTTTTGAAGCAGTAGCACTATTATGACTTATTATGCCAAAGAAAACAGTATCATTAAAACAGAATTTTTTGAACAGATCATGGAGCACAGTTTGAACTATATTTGCTGAATATTTCCTAACTACTGAAAGCCTGATGGCTGAGCAGTTAAGGTGGCAGCCTTAACTGCTTGGGGAACCTGAGATCAAATCTGAATGGGTCGAAAAAACCCCAGGGATTTTTCAGGGATGGTCCATCCAGATATGTCTGGCCCCACCCCTCACCACCTGGTCGCCCCATTGTGGGCCTGGCCAAACCCATAATGGGTCTGCTGAAAAGGCCCTCTTAGTGCCTACACGGCAGAAAGAGTTTAAAAAAAAAAAAAAAAACTACTGAAGGTGAATTACAATGGCAGTATAATAAGTGCTAAGATGCTATGTGTTGAATTATTGAATAAATTGTACTTCTCTTTTTAATCTGTCTTTCGAAATTTTCAAAAATTTGGAGCAAAGGTATTACTATGTCTTTGCTGTTTCGATTCAGTTGCTATAAGCATGTATAGACCGAAAGGCAAGTTAAAATCTGAATTTTGTCTATAAACAACTCTGTGTCATAAGAATCACTCTCCATCTTCATTTTGCACCAAATATTGCATATAATCAAATAACTGGTTTTTGTACCAAACATGCACACGATGTCTGGTCATATGATTTGTGTTCAACCACCAACTGTGAAAATTTAGTGGGTGATACTGATCATGCATTGCAACTGCCATAAAATATGAATTACTATTGTGTGTTTCCATTATATCCGACTCACCAAATAAACCATATCCAGTTCATAAGCCAGCAGAAAAATTCTTTCTACGTTAGATATTTTAATTTTAACGCATCATATTCGAATTACGTCGTTAAACGGAACTTTCAAAAACATTCTATTCGACTAGCCGTTAGTTCGATATCATCAATACCTGAGGATGTCTATTACATATAGACGAAAACGTTCGTAGAAAGAATTTTTCTGCTGACTTATGAACTGGATATGGTTTATTTGGTGAGTCCGATATAATTAAAATTAAATAACCAGTTTTTTGAAATACAGTGTGTTTCCATATTAAATTCATTATTGTCCACAATCACCATTTTGTGGTTGTTTGTTGACATGTGGTTTTGAAGTCATACATGTGAGTTGAGCATTAGCTCAAATAGTAAAAGATTGAAATTTTTCAAAACAATAATCATAACTCTAAGTTAGTAAACTGATAGGTCTATACAACATTTGAAACTTAGATCTCAAATATAAATATTACTTTTAATTTAATAAAATCAATAAAAGCAACTAATTACTGGTTAATGCTAATAATTAAAGTTCCACTTTCACTAAACCAATAAACTAGCAGAAGAACCTTTTTTGTCCATTTTTAAAAGGACACCTTCAGGCTGGTGTTTTAAAAATAGACAAAAACATTTGCTTTTCAAAGTGAGTAGTTGAGTAGTTCTTTTGTTGGTTTATTGGTTTAGTGACATATTGATTTTAATAATAAAAGTTTCACTAATTTAATACATCAAATAATTGCTGTAATTAATTGGGCTAATTAAATGTTATCATTAGCAATTAACTATTAA